TTGGTTGTGTTTGGGAGCCTAGTGTTGCTGCCCAGAATTTTGGACCTTCGCTCGAGCGAGGAGTTGGTCACTCGAGCGAGAGTTGAGTTCGTGTCTGGTTCTGGACCTGAGAGTTGCGTTTCTTGGCTCGAGCGAGCTTTTCTTGGCTCGAGCGGTCTGGTTTGTTCTTCGCTCGAGCAGGAAGTCTGTCGCTCGAGCGTGCTTCTGGTTGCAGACCTGAGGGTTTGTGTTGTTGGCTCGAGCGAGCATTCTTTCGCTCGAGCGCACTTTTGAGTTTTTTGGCTCGAGCGAGAGCTTCTTGGCTCGAGCGAGGGTTTTCTGTGTCTGGTCGCTCGAGCGACAAAGCCTTCGCTCGAGCGAGCGTGTTTTATATCAGCGGACAGTAGCGATTTTGAACTTCACTTTTTCACTTTCTTTTTTGATCAAACCCTAGATCCGAGACTCTCTCTCTCTACACTTATATTCTCTCTAAGAATTGATCTCCCTAGAGTGTGAATCTAGCCTAGAGCCTTTGTTAAAAAGATAGAGGGCGTTGAGAGCTTCGACTTAATCTGAAAAAGTTTTGGATTTGGAGTACGTTGATCTTCGAGTCTTCATCTCCTTTTTGGCTCAAACTTCGAGGTAGGGATATCCTACTCCTCTCTATGGATTTTGTCTTTAAATTTTGGTATTTTGAGATGTTGGGGTTGGTTTGGTAAAAACATTTTCTTCGTGAAAGTTTGGGTTTGCTTTTGTGTAATTTCTAACAAAAAGTTGGGATTTTATTTATAATAAACCTAAATGCATGTTTGGCAATAGAGAGTTGGAATAAATGTTGAATCATTTGTATGAAAATGGGACCTAAGGGTTGAAATGTTAATTATGGGAATTGACCTAATTACATTGTTTTAATTAATTGGGATAATTAATTGTGAGGAATGAAATGTTGATTTAAATATCCATTTTGTGCATTTATTTTCTGTTAGAAAATATCTGTTTTGGGCTATCGGTGGAGAATAGTCGTGATTGTTGTAGACAATGCATGATGATTAGGCAAACGGAAACTAATCAATGGAATGTGTCATGGAACTTGACGGTTGATAGAATACATTAACTGTATGTATTGAGTGATTGTATATAGAACCAATGTGTTTGTATACGTTATGTGTAGAGGAGGAGAATGGGGGATGTACTCCGCGGTTAGGGGAAGATAGGGGATGTACCTCTAAACCGGATAGTGTTGGGAGAAGATAGGGGATGAACTCCGTAGATACAGCTCATATGCTTGTCTAGAGAAGTGTGGATATAGCTTATATGCTTATCTGTGAATATGGGATATTGTTGTTTATACATATCTGTTGAGAAATTGGATATAGCTTATATGCTTATCTGTGAATGTGGGATATAGTTTTTTATACTTATCTGTTGAAATAATGAATAGAGCTAACATGCTTATCTGTTGAAAAAAGGGAAAATGAAAAGTAACTTGACTCATAAGTCGTGTGGCATAAATATGTGATTTATGTGAAATGTATCAGTGTTGGCCATCTATCAATTGCTAATCTTTTAGTCATTGTTCATGGTTGGTTTAGTGTATTTCTACTGGGCTGTGGCTCACCCTATATGGGAATATCATTTTCAGGTACAGGTAGCATGCCACCTCCAAGGACATAGCTTGGGAGGCTAGAGGCGAGACATACTTTTTGTCGTTTTTACTTTTGTTGTATTACATGTAAATTCAGGCCAAGGGCTTAACGTGTATGAGTTAGACTCTTTTTGTTGTAACCAAGTGTTAACTTGGAAAGCTGTAAGCCCATAGGGCATTTGCTTTTGTTGTTAACATGTAATACTTTTTGTAATGAAACTCTGAGAAATGAAAGAATGTGGAACTTTTGAATATCAATGCATGTCTAATTTGATGGGTTTTACTGTTATTATTTTTGGGGCGCTACAACTTACACTTGTAATGGTTCCTGACCCTTCTTCACAAAATATGAATCATATATAAATCTTCATAATCACATATCATGGTATATACATCAAACACCTTCTTCTCAATTATTGTCAATCCATCATCCAAAAGGTTTTCCAAGTTTATTATACCACAATACACAAGTACTATAGACATCTATTTTCATCTTCATCAACATTGTATGAATCTCAAAAAAGCAGTCTGTCGGATCAACATCATAAATATATTCTACTTTCCCTTGTTTATAACCAATATTAGGAGGCTTATTGAATTACCCATTATAGTTGATCTCAAAATCTTTTATTATTTATTATTATTATTTTTACTCTCACTACACAAAACAACAAAAGTTCACAATACTACATTACAAAACTCAAAGTCATTGGGACCACATTACAAAATTCAAAATCCTTGGGACAACACTATTTAATTAATATTTGATTATTAATTCAATTCCTCAATATTTAATTCAAATCCCCTTGTAACAAATATACCTCCATCTTCACCAAAATTCTAAAAAATTAAATCAAACATCCATGGCATACATGGAAAATTATAAAATCTCTAAACACAAATAGAATATATTGAATAAAAAGTCACCAATCATAAAAAAATATGAATAAAGCTCTAAACCCCACTACACTTTAACCAAAATCTCAAAAAAAAAAAAAAATATATATATATATATACAATAAAAGGCATGAATATAGACACTAAAAAAATCCCAAAGTTAACATCAATAAAAAAAAACTTGTTATTTAAGCTCTATACCCCACGCCATTCCACCCCAATTTAACCAAATCCCAAAAAATTAAAGTAATAAAAGGCATGAATACAGAAAATTAAAGTATACAAAAACAACTATATGAAAAAAAAAAAAATACCCTAAAGTTAACATCGTGAAAAATAACCCATCATTTTATAAAGCTCAATACCCCACCTCACTCCACTCCACTCCACTCCACTTACCACAATCCCCCAAAATTAAAGCAATATAGCATACCATGGCATACCATGACATCAAATTTTACTAATTTTTGTAAAATCGAAGTCAACACAAACTAAGTTACGAATAAAAATTAAGGAAAATCAACATCTAACGATAAAAATAAATTAGGGTAACAACACATATCTAAACTATGGATGGCATTCGCAATATGATGGATCGATTGATGATAAAACCCTAATTCAACCCAATCAACTACGGTGAGAGAGAAGATATATATATATATATATATAATAATATATAATATATATATATATATATATATATATATATATAGAGAGAGAGAGAGAGAGAAGATAGCGATACAAATACTGTATTAGTCAAATGAAACGAAATGACTGGGGGATGTAAAATATCTAGGGGCATTTATGACTTTTTACAACTTCTGTTACGTTCTTCCCAAAATTACACTATGATATGAAATACAGGGGTTTAAGTGTTACAAATGAAACTGTAGGAGGACTCCGTGTTTTTTAAAACAAACCAAAGGCGTTAAAGTGTAATTTTACCCTATTAATTTCTACTTCATTTTGCCCACCATGTGCTCCACCATATGCTCAAATAAAATACACACAGAACCATCCCAGTAACCTGTTGGTTTGTTTTGAAAATGTAATAGATTATTGGGAAAAAAAAATTTATATTAGGATCTTGAGGATAAGTTTCGCACGTGTAATTTATCTAAATTGATGTCTTTATTCATAGTGAAATTTTGTGCAAGTAACAAGGATCAATAGTAAGAACGAAAGTAGTATATGTGAGAAAGATTAAAAATTAAAAAAGGAAAAATAAAATTTTTTGAATAACTCTAGTTAGATCAACCAACTCAATCCATTTTTGCTAACAAAGCAAAAATTAAAAGAACAAAAATTTTTAACACTTGTGATAGAAATCTCCACCAAATAAATATGCAACAAAACCAGACAAGAGCTATATTAAAATATCTGTATAAAATAAACACCCATTGGCACCCAATTGAAAAGTTCATATGCACTTACTACCCATACAAATTCTCTCAATTAATTTATGATTTATGATGATAATCAAATGTATCTTCTCAAAAACAAGAAACAGAAATATGAGAAATATGACAACTTCTACAAGACTTTTGATCCAAATTCGAACAAAGGGCCAAATTAACAGATGAGCAATGCCTTTGTGGAGTTCCCCTAAACAAGTAAAAGGATAGGCTTAGAGTGAAAACCAAGATTTCAATTGTTCCAATTAATTCTTAGGTTGACCCATTGAGGTTTGTAAATGATACACTAAAATGGCATACCAAGATTTCAATTGTTCCAATTAATTCTTCAAACCTCAGATACTGTTCCAACCAACAAAAAAATTAAAATATTTAAAAATATTTATATAAAATAGAGTTTGAATTTATTTTTTATAAATATTTTAAAATTTAAAAAATTAAAATTGTAATATTTTGAAATTAAAATATTTAAAAATATTCAAAAAATTAAAAAAATCGTAACATATTTAAATATTAAAATATTTAAAATCTTAACAAATTAAAATATTTTTAAAATATTAAAATATTTAAAAAATTAAAATATTGATTTGAATTGAGTTTTGAATTATGTGTTTGGTTATGAATTTTGAAAAGTAATGATTATGTTTTCAATTGAGTTTTGAGAAATGGGTCTAGAATTATGGTTTGAAAGCTCAAAAAAAAAATTTAAATTAATAAGTGAAACTATAATTTGAGAGGTTTATCATACGAAGCCTAAAAATTTTCATTAATTACCATATGAGTAATCTTAAGAGTTTTAAATATTTTATTAATATTTTTATTAAATATTTTATATAAATATGAGATTTACATCAAATCTATATAATGTAAATTTCACATTTACGTTAAACTTTTTTTTTTTTTGGTAGAAAGTACACATCCGCATTAAACATTTAATAAAAATGTTGATAAAATATTTGGGAGGACAAGGATTCTTACCATATTTTGGTAACCATATTTAACCGAGTTAAAGTTGGTAATAAACTAGTGACTCGTGGGAACTTGAGAGAGGAGTGGGACAGAAAGAGGAAACTTTCCGTTTGTTCTTCTCAGAATTTGTCTCGCAATAAATGCTCTCTCTGCTGAGGGATCAGAAAATGGAGGAGAATGCAGGTCTGATCGGAGATTGAAGAATTCGGAGACACAAACCTGGCCAGAGGCAGCAAGATGGAGAACGGGACAGAGGATTGGGACAGGGAAGGGGAACAGAGTATCCCTACCCCTCTCGCTTCTCTTTCTCTTTCTTCTTTTCAGAGCTTGTCTCTCTACGGAGCTCGCCATAAATGCTCTGTTTCTCACAGCCCTATCTATAGCTTCTCTTTCTCTGATCTCTCTGCTGAGGGATCAGAAAATGGAGGAGAATGCAGGTCTGATCGGAGATTGAAGAGGTCGGAGACAGAAACCTGGCCAGAGGCAGCTAGATGGAGAACGGGACAGATGGTTGGGACAGGGAAGGGCAACAGAGTATCCCAACCCCTCTCGCTTCTCTTTTTCTTTCTTCTTTTCAGAGCTTGTCTCTCTACGGAGCTCGCCATAAATGCTCTGTTCCTCACAGCCCTATCTATAGCTTCTCTTTCTCTTTGTTATTCTCAGAACTTGTCTTCTTGTTTGTATATACTCCTTCATATTTGACTCTCAGAACTTGTCTCTTCGTTCTTATTTATATACTCCTCCGTATTTGATTACAAACACAAGCTTGAAAATCTTCAACTGCTCTTCCATGGATGTTGAGGCCATGGATGTTGAGGAGGTACTTGTTTATTTTTATGCAAATTTTTTTTTCTCCCTTTCAACTGTTATTTATTTATTTATTTATTTTTATGTAGAACCCGTTGAGAAAACGAAGGCGTAATGTTCTATGTGTAGAGAAGAAAGCAAGAATAAAATTCACAGAGAAGAGTTTTGAACCAGAGGAAGGAGAGGAAGAAGAGAAAGTAAAGCAAGGTTATACTTCCTTGTGTGGTTTTGAAGATGATCGGTTCGATAAAGTTCCGATCAGTATTTCAGAAGAAGAAATTGAAGAGGAAGCTCTTCGTCTTAAGAGAATGCGTTTGCTAACGCATTCTGCTTTTCTGAGAATATATTTCTTAAAAAAACTAAATCGCCAGAGATGCATCTCTATCACCGAAAGAATTCCACGACCGTTTCGAAAGTGGGTTAAATACCGACTATTGAAAAGGTGGGTATTTGACTCATCTGGTATGAAGGTTGTGGGTTTCAGCGATGATGTTTGCTCTGTTTTTAAGTAAGTTTCATTTCATTTCTATTAAATTTACCTTTCATATCTTTTCTTTTGTTTATGCTCTTTAATATATATATATATTTTTGGCTATGTTCCAGGCAGATTGGTGGTGGTTTGAAGGAACTCCTCTACCGTCGTGAGTTTCATGGCAGCCTACCTACTGGGGTGATGGTGTCGCGGAGTCAAATGGTCAAGTTTGTCAACTTGACCAGTTTTGCTAGCCCCCCTTCGCAAGTCGATTTCGAATCTGGTTTGAAGAAAGATATTGAAGATTTCAAACAACTTGTTCTGAAGATAAAATTGCCCAGAAACTCAACTACTCCGATTGTTTTGACTTTGTTTTGCCGTCTATGTGATAACGCCCAACTAACCACGGGAGTTGAGCTTGTGTACGTATTCATGTTATGTTTTTATGGACATAAATTTTTTGAAAATGATGTACATTCATGCATTCTTCATATTTTTAATATTTACTGTTTGATATTTTTTTTTTATTTTTTTTTTTCAGGGACTTAGCTTTCTTCATTTACAGTAACGCCCTTTTTCATGATGATAACGACCGTTGCTATTTTTTCATAAGCGTTTGGGACTTTATTAAGGCCAATCTGCACAAAGGTCTGTCCATTCTTCGTTTCGATAAGGGTGTTGTTAATATGAGAGGGTGGCGGAGTTCTTTGCGAGACCCGCGATTTTCTGCATTGAAACGTGCTAGCCGACGCAAGGGTCAGTCATACCACAAAGCCTTCGGTATTGTTAAATTTCATAGAAACTTTATGGTGCACGTAGACAGTTATTTGGTAAGTTAATTTTTTCTGTGTATTTTCATATTTTATATATTGAAATGTATTATATACTTGTATATAATAATTGTTGATTTACTTTGATGTTGTAATGCAGAAAATACCAGCACTCCGTCGGCTAACATATGCTACCAAGTTACTAAGGGAAGCATTTTCTGATTTTCCGGCAAAGTTTTTTTATTTGGTTGCCACTCTTATTCGACGACGTCAGGCCAAGTTTGGGTGAACCCTAGTTTTATTTTACTTTATATGAAGTTCTTTTCCTTTGGTTTTTGTTATTTAATACTATAAGCCAATGTTGTTATTTTTTATTTTTTGATTTATTACTCTACTTTCTAGTAACTTGTATTTTTTTGAATGTTTCAGACCTGATGGTTTGGTGTCACACATCCGAAGGACAGTAACCTCATGTTCTACTTTTTCATGAAATGCCAATTTTTCAGGACAGTAAGTTGCATCTTTATACAAATTTTGGCATTTTTTTTTGAAGTTATTATTGTAAAAGTGCAGGGATGCTTTAACTGTTTTTTTTAAGTGTTAGGCTTTATTTTTATATATATGCATTTATATGTTTTTGTTCTTATTATTATTATTGTATAATTTATTTGTAATTTGCATTTATTTAGGCTGGGCGATGCTATGCGGTTCCTGATTTCTGTGCTGTCATTTTGCTTCTGTAAGTTTTTTTTTTAGATGAACAATTATGATGGTTGTTTTTTTTGAATGATTGTAAAAGAAGCTATGGTGGTTTTATGGTGGTTTTTTTTTTGTGAGGGTGATTGCAATTTGAATGTGTTGGTGGATGACTTCTTTCCGCTATACCTAAAAGGAATATGTTGGTGGATCATTGTATTTTTCATGCTTTTGGCTTCGGAGAACATGATTTGTTTTGTTTTTTAGAATGATGATTTGTTTTGTTTTTTAGAATGAAAAAGTGGTATATAATATTCTCTGAGTTTTTGTTCTTATTTTAATTTTAAATTTGGAATGTTTTGAATTTGATTTTTGATATGGTTTTTTGAAAGTTATTTCTTACTTAATTCAGAGAATTCTAGATTATATACAAACCAAATTTGAGGCCAACTTGTTTAATAGTTTTTAGTTTGATTTTTAGAAACATATTTCTGAATTTTTTTTATTCTATGAATGTAAAAATTAATTTGGTAACACTTTGGTTTGTATATAAGATAAAAGAATAAAAAAATTGAATTAACTAGATTTTTGGTTTTGGATTATGATTTTTGGTTGGGATTCCCATTTCTTTTTTCAGTTGGAGTTGCATTTGTACTGTGCTTGTGTGGGTTTTTGTGGCAGCATCTTAGTGTTCCTGTCTTGTTGGGACGTTTTGACAGTTGCCATTGCCAATTATTTTTACTTTCCCTATAATTATGAATATATTATTAATTGTTGGTAATTGAATTTGCATTGTTAGAATGGACCTGTGTTCACATGAACTTTTTTAGAATGGACCTGAATTCTCTGCCTGTGAACTTTTAATTGTTGGCTTAGCTATATGATATGTCCTAATATTTTGTCTTGAATTATTGTTTTTTGATTAAAATTTACAAGTATTTAAGTTTATACTAGGCATTAAACGCATGTGACTAAATTTTTTTTAACCTCTCTCATATTCTAAATTTTCCCTTGTTAAATTGATGTCTCTGTGGACAATCTTGATTTTATCACTTTCTTTTTGGAAGAGAAGCTTTAACAAAATGAAGTTGTAATTATGTTAAATTTAAGGGTCTTATTTCTACACAATACCTACACAATCTTGCTTCATTCAATCAAACATTTAGTGATGTTATTTTGATAAAATGTTAAATGTTATTTTGATAAAATGTTGATAAAATATAAGTAGTTCTTTTTAGAAAATGTTTCATATTCAATTTTGTTGAATGGCATATTATATAGAGCGCATCTTTTCCAAATAGGTTTGATTGTTAGTGATGTTATTTTCATAACATGTAAAATAAAGTAATTCACCTAGGATTAAAAATCCAAAAAATATGCCAAATAGAAAAATAATTCGCCTAGGATTAAGATCATGAAAGTTGGCATAGAAATAGGTATTTTTTTTTTTTACCGTGACTTAACTTTTGCTCTCCTTGCTCGCGTTTATGCTTATATATAACAAATAGGGATAACTTGTTCCTAAAGGCACTAAAAAAAAATAACGTCTAATTAATATATATTAATGGGTATTTGAGAGTGAAAGGATTGGATATACACTTAGCCGTTTGCATAGTGTACATTGCAATTGTCTCAAGACTTGAATTCATAATCTAAAAGCACTATCCAACTAAATTTAATGTATATATTTTAAATATTTTATTGTACAACTATTCAAAGGAAAGTATGTAAAAAATTAGAAAATATGTTTTTAAAACCTTCTCTAGCTTACTGAGTTGCTCCATTTGCATTCCTAACACACAATAAATAAATAGTAATACTGCAAACTTAAACTTAATTATTATAGAATTATCATTTTCTGATTCAAATTTATTTTATATGTAGATCTCATATTATATAAGTTAAATCTCCATCAAGCAACTACTCATCCAGAAAAATTTGGATGGATAAATCTAGGTTCTAGATTTATTCATAAATACTAAATAAGTAATAATAATAATAATAATAATAATAATAATAATAATAATAATAAAATAATATGTTTGCATCAAATATTGAAAATCAGCTAAAAATTTTGAAAAAACTATGCACTGAAAATTGAAAGTGGCAAGTGCTATGGGAACCTGATGAATTCAATTTTAAACTAAACAAACACCGAAGTGTAAGCTCTACATCAACACAAAAACCATAAATACATATAAAGAAAATAAAACGGCTGAATGATCAGTCAAAGCACACCATTTAGATCCATTATACATCTTTAGGCTAAGGCAAGGCTTGTGTTTTGGGTCTCCAATTTTTGGCACAAAATAGTAATTGCAAATTTGTCAGTTTTATATTATTAAAAAAAATGATATATAAGTCAATTTTATAGACTTATTTTCTAGATACAATGATGTGTAAAAAAATTGGGCTGGTATTTTACTAATTTTAGTCATAAAAGATAAAATAGGTTATTTTAATTACAAAAAATAAAACATTACATCAAATCTATAATGATTACATTCTTCTCTCACAAAGAAGCCAAAAAAGTTAAAAAGTAAAAAAGTCTTTCCCAAATCAAGTTTTTTAATCCAAGTTAAAATAGTCAAAAAAGTCAAAAAGTTAATTCACTTCTCAAACGGAAGCTAAATAAGATAGTTAGTTAATAATTAAATAATAAATAGAGAGAGAGAGAGATGACTTGGATATTTAATAGAGTATAACATTAGGCGTAGAACATAGGCCTAATTTTTTAGCATTAATAGCAATACTATATTAAAAGTTTGAATAGATCCATCGTAATTTATTGCTTATAAGGTCTAGTCAAAGAGGACCTCAAAAAAATCCTGTTGGGCTCAATTGACAAAAAAAAAAAAAAAAAAAAAAAAAAAAAAAAAAAAAAAAAAAAAATTGTATATAAGTATTGTTAGGCCATTTAAAATTTTATATAATAAGTCCAAATAAATTGAAAACTATAATAAATATATTATAAGATTTATTACACTTTACACTCTTAAATTATCATCAAATTATTTATTTAATCCTTGTATCGATTGTATCTACTAGGTTCCTAAAGTACATAAGTCAAAGTCTATTTAGTTCCTAAAATATCAATTGAATCGATTAAATCTCTAAAATATTTAATTCCAATCCATTTAGTCTTTGAAAAGATTACAAAAATAAAATATAAGTCCATATATAGGTAATATAAATTAATAAAATACCGAATCTAATTAAAATTTTATTTCAGAAAAACCTTAAATTTTTATTCTGTCTTTGAAAAGTGACGTCACTCCTTATGGTAAATTTCCTTTATAACGGTAAAAGTAATTATCTATAGTATTTTCTCACTTATTTTTTACAATGGTTATGTGCTTGCTTTTATCTACTATTATATGTCAAATTTTGTTTATAATTTCTAATTGATTGTTTTTAAGTTTTTCGATAAGTTTTTTTATTACTTAATTAGTGTATTATTTTGTTCTATTATTATTTGTAATGAAATGTTATTATTTAAATTATTTAATTATACTTTTTTAGTATATCTAATATTCATATAATTTACTCTAATATTAATTTAAATACATAACGAAATATAAACACTTATTACAAACAAAATAAAATTTTAAATTTTTTTGTAATAAAATGTTAATTGGGCAGGTATTTTACTAATTTATAATATTTATGAAAATATATTTTAATTTTGTAATTTTTTTAAGGACTAAATCAGTTTGAATTAAATGTTTTAGGGAGTTAATAGATTCAATCGATAGTTTATGAACTAAATAGACTCATAATTTAGGACAATTTGACGATAATTTAGGGGTAACAAATGTAATAAACCCTGTATTATATAATGAGCTCAAATAGATTCTAATGTCAACATCTCTCTCTCTCTCTCTCTCTCTCTCTATATATATATATATATATATATATATCAAATTTTAATAGAATAAATAACATCATCTTAATTTTTTTTTTTTTTGCCTCCTCTTTATCATATTTTAATTGAATAATTTTACCTTAATTTCTTTTCTTTAATTTTGTTTGCCAAATTATTTTGCCCTCTCTCTTTATCACAACTTAATTGAATAATTTCGCCTTAATTTTTTCCCCTAATTTTGGTTTAATAATTTGTGCTTTGCTATCATATAGTCATTGGATTGGGATTTGTGTGGATTATGATTGTGTTATCGGATATCAAATCACAACAACATAATCATTTCGTTATCTGATAAGAATTAATTAAGCACAATCTAACCGAAAAACAACATAATCATTTCGTTATGATTGTGATTTCGTTATCTGACAAAAAAAAAAAACTATACAATGTATGCCATTCAATGCTTCGCAATCCAAAAGAATTAATTAAGCACAATCTAACCGAAAAACATGTGCCTAAAAACACTCCTACCACAATCTATTCTAAATAAACCAACCACCCTCTCAAATCAACACATCATACTGCATATACACTTAAGCTAAATTTAGCTATTCTATCCAATCTCAAATCAAACGCAATCACATCCTTGTCATAATAACAAAATTTAATAAACCAAAAACTTGTCTTCATAGATATTATAATAACAAAATTTGCACAGATAGAATGCTTTCGAAAAAAATGAGTTTTCCTGATTGATGAGGCCTTCAAAATGTTTTCGTATTAACAAGTGCAATACAAATTGCAGCCACGGAAACAACAATGTCTAAGGCTACCAATTTCATTGCAACACAATTGTACAAAAACAGGCCTCCTATTCCAACATAGTTTTTCAAAACTTATTTTTAAATGGATTTTGTTTATCTTTTTTGAACATTTTTTATATTTTAATAATTTTTTTATATAAATTTTTAGATACATCAAGATTAGATGTATCTAAAAAGTATTAAAAAAAATAGTAAAATATTAACAAAAAAATCAATAAAAATAAATGAGAATTCATCTAAAAATAATTTTAAAAAAAAATCAAACCAAAGGGACGGGTAATTTTTTATTTTCAAAACTCACCAAATAACATCATGAGCTCCAAGCATGAGACCTGAACCCTTCAACTAATGGCCTTGAAGTGCACATTTTATTCATCTAGTGAAACCAAAATGAGCAAAGCAACATCTACCAAAACAAAGTTAAAAATTTAATGTAATAGACTTATAATTCAAATTTTCATATTATATTAGTTGGCCCCCAACGCACTTCGCGCATGGGGTCACGTTGCTATTGGTTGGGATGGTTGAGAATAATACAATGAGGCGAAGGCCATCTTGAAGCAACCTCTTCTTTATATTCTTTATATAATCCAATCCAATTGTATCT